CCGGTCGTCTTGGGAGGGTTGGACCAAGACAAGCTTTGTCCCGCCGCTCAGCCGTGGCTCCATGCCGGATACCTCTCCAGTGAGCAGGGGTGGTGAGAGCGCAGCCAGCGGTGTGTGCATCTTCCCGTTAAACTGCTTAGCTGCAGGAACGATTATACATCAAATAGTTGCACACGGGATTAAACCCTCTTAAGTGTGGCTCAGAAATCCTCCCATAATCCGGACCCGGCTGTAGGAGGGAAGGACGGGCAGCAGGAGCAGAGGGGGTTTATCTGCTGGGAAAGCTTTTTTAACGTACACAACCACACAAAAAAAAAAAAAAAAAAAAAAAAAAAAAATCACTTCATTGCAAATTACATTGAAGAAGCCTTGCTTGGGCACTGACCTTGGAGCTTTCCTCTCTGTTGCAGATGAGCCTGATCCTGCCCTCTCCGGTGCCGTCCCAGCCACAGCTCACAGGACTGAACTCGGGTAAGTTCCCAAGGGATGTCGCAGAGTGGGGAGCGCCTGAGAGCCTGTCTCCCTTTGCTAATGGTACTCCAGTTACACAAAGCCCCAAAATATCTCCCTGGCTGTCCCCGAAGAGGGTTGTCCCACCACTGAGGACGTCAGCAGGTCCCTTTGGAGCCAGCCAGCACAGTCCCCTCACTGCAGAGCAGTGTTGGCTGCTCTAATTCATCTCGTTTGTCCTGCTTCCCAACAAACCACCCTGCTTCTGCCTCCCCTAAATTACCCCTCGGAGCCATCCTGGTTCCCCTCGGAGCCATCCCGGTTCCCCTCGGAGCTGCTGGGGCTGTCCCTGCTGCGAGGGAGAGAGATGTGCTGGGAGGTAGATGCTTGATTTGGTTGCATTGGGTGTCCTGAAGCTGCTAAGGGGTGTCCCACATACCTCTGAGCATCCTGGAAAAGGCAGATTTTGGGGAGCCAGCCCAAGGCTCGTGCAGGGCAAGGGTCCTCGTCCTTCGTGGCACCGGGGACCTGTGCCTGGCTCAGAATCACTCTCTGTCTTAGCCTGTTTAGCAGTGCAACCAATGCCCAGCACGTTTTAATGGGCTTATTTTAGTATCTGCTGTTGACTGATCCTTCCTGGGCCAGCGGTTTCCTTAGCGAGTTATTTTTAATAACGTTTGCAGGGTTTACAGTGCATATGGGAATCACATTTCCCTGATATCAAGCCACAGACAATGGTGAGCCCGTCCTCCAGTCCGCAGTAATTTCTCCCGAGTAAAAATACGGAAATATTTGGAGCTGGGAGGGTGAGCGTGGTGGGGTGGGAGGGTCGGTTCGCCCCTAAAGTTGGCTTTTTCCAGGAACAAGCTGGAAATAAATAGGTTTAAAAAGGAGGAGAGAGAGAGGCAGCATGAGAACCGTGTGGAACTGGCAGCCCTGCTGTCTCCAACAAAGGCGCTTTGTTCTCCCGGCAGCACAACTTGACCCGTGAGATAGTGTTTTGCTGGCCCTGGAGCAGCTCTTTGCATGAGGTCTCAAGTCACCAGGCTTCTCCGGGTGTTGGGCTCTGCGGTTCAGGAGGTTTCTTCCCTAGGGATGGTTTAGCAGGGAGCAGGAACTGGGATGTGGTGGTTTGCATCTGGCTCTTGGCCGTGCATCCGTGCCATGGGTGCTGTGTAGAGGGAGAAGCCGGGCACGAAGCTGGCTGTGGAGGACAGAAGCTGGGTTGCATCCTTCGGGCAGGGATGGGCATGCGGAGGAGCCTTGCCTCACTCCGCAGCTCAGCAGGTGCCCCGAGTCTGCTCGGCCCCCAGGCCAGCGCCTGCCAAAGCCCTGTGAAGCTGCCGTCAGGGACATCGGGTCTTCTGGATCTCTTGGACACCAGTTCAGAAGCCTAAATGTGGGGATCTGGTGCCATTCAAGGCTCTCTGCTTCCCCACCAAGTCTTTCGCCACGCCAGCAGAAGGGCTTGAGGTTCTTGTAGATCCTGTCTCATAACTGTTGGTCCCATGCAGATGTCTCCAGTCCCTCGAGGCATCTCAGAGAACATCAGGTGCCTCTGTTGCACCCTCACCGTGTCCCTTCTTCCCCGAAAAAGTCTCCAAGCCCAATGTAGGACTTTCAAAACCACCGGGCTGGGACTGCCCATGGGTGTGTGCTCAGCCCTTCTCTGACACCCAACGCGTCTTCAGTGCCGTGGTGGTATCCACAGCACCCATCTGGGTGGCATGGGGCCACCCAATCCCACTGTAGAGCTTACCCCATGGAGGCTCATGTTCTCCAGTGCTTGATGGGGTCTTCCCAGCTTTGGGGTCCTTGCTGAGGGTTTGGAAGAGGATGGGGAGGAACCACCTTGATCCACTGTGACCTGGGGTCTCTGCATAAGGAAGAAAGACTTCCCACTCTTCTGTGAAGAGGGATCACCCAGGGACTTCCATTTAATCGTGGAGACAAACCATCCTTTGGTATGGTCCACGTTGACACATCTGTTTTTATGCAACTTTGAAGAGCTCATTGGCCTGTTCTTTGGCCTGATAGTGACAAGTGTCATTATTAAGAGCAAATATCCCTGTTGATTTGGGTAAAAAGAAGGCAATAAGGTGTCCAAGCATCCTGAGAAGTTAGCAAGGGAAAGGGAAGGAGAAACAGAGAGCGGGGTGAAGCGAGGGAAAGATAACTTCCGGCTCAAGGCAGGAATCGTTGTACCTGGCCTGAACATGGCGGAGCCACTGTAGGGAGCAGATACAATCCTTGCTGAAATGAGCTTGGAGCAAGCCCAGAAGAAAATGCAGAAATTATTCTAGCTGCCCATGGCCAAGGGAGGGTGGGAAGGGATGGGCTTGGTTTTGTCCCAAGTCTTTAATATTTGGGGCGATATGGGAGTCATTGTGAACTCCCCAGCCTGTAACACTGTGCACGCTCGCTCTGGTTCCAGGACAACCTTTTTGTAAGTGGAAATGTTTGTATTACCCCGTTAACCGGTTATTAACTCTCAAAACGTATTTGCAGCTCCACGAATGAAGAGCATTTGGAGTTCAAGAAGGCTTTGTACAGAACGGATGCCAGGAGCTCCCTAGACCTGCGAAACATGACCGTGTCCAGCAGCGTGACCTGGGACACCTCCACCCTGGAGACGAGAGCGGGCGATGGGAGAGAAGAAAGCACTTTAGAGAGACTCTCTGGCTTGAAGGACTTGAAGGACACACGGTGTGTAAAGGAGTCAGCGTTCGCCGTGGAGCCCCAGGTTGTAAATACTGTGCAGGTGGATCCTGAGCAACTGGAGAGTGACTCCGAGGACCTGGATGGTGGCAAGGCGCCAGCAGAGACGCCCAGCCCTTGTGCAGGGGCATCAGTTGGCAGCGGGGAAGAGAAATACCTTAAAAATGAACCAAAGCAACTTGAAGCCCTCAGCAAAGAGCACTTAGATAAAAGCAAGAGGGGAATCCAGAGGGTTGACTGGATTTCTAGACCCAACAAAAGCCCAAGTCCCCACTACAAAGACATAAGCAAGCCGACAGATGTAGCAACCAACTTGCCCTTTCGGGGACAGGCCGTGCGTGAAGTGCCTCCTCCACTGACTCCGACGGTGTTCAGAAAAACGCTAAACCCTGTCCTCGGCAAGTCCAAATCCCTGGAGAGCTCCTCATCCCACAGGAAGGGGCTGATGGTCGACTCGGACTTGGACGGGATCAACCCGCTCAATGCAGCTGAGTGGACAATCCAGAAGCCAGGTCTTCAGCTCGGCACGGACCTCGCTGTCGGCAAACAGTCCTGGACAGTAAATGCCGAAGACTCGGTGGAGCGGATCCCATTGATGTCTCTGGAGCCTGCTCCCTGCAGCTCCTACGACATCGAGATGAGGCCCTACGTGTGCAGCGTCTTGTTGGAGGAGCAGGGGAAGGAGGAGCTCGGTCCGGAGGAGGACCCTACAGTGTACACCTGCATCGAGTGCAGCATTTACTTCAAGAAGAAGGAGCATTTGATGGATCACATGCTTCAGCATAATCGTGGACCAGGGAGGGACCAAGACAGAGATGCTTTGGGAGGGCAGTGTCAATTCTGCTGCAACGAGTGCGGATGGGCCTTTGGAGACCCCACGTCTTTGGAGCAGCACAAAAGGCTCCACCAAGAGTCGAGGGAAAAAATTATTGAAGAGATCCAAAAGTTGAATGAGTTTCCAGATGAAGGTCGGGAAGCCCGGCTGCAGTGCCCCAAGTGCGTCTTTGGCACAAACTCCTCCAAGATCTTTGTCCAGCATGCCAAGATGCACGTCAAGGAGAGGAAGGACCAAGGGGCAAAGAACATGAATCTCTTTGGAAGCACAGGCAGTGGAGAAATACGGGATAGCCCCGTGCACGGCATCTACAAACACTTCAAACCAAATGAACACATGTCCCTGCAGATGCAGGTACCACCTCACGGCAGCAGCAAAGGGCTCAGCACCTGTATGCTCTGCAGCTTCCCGGCCCCCAATGAGAACATTCTCAAGGAGCACATGAAATACGCCCATTCCCACCTCTCCTGGGACACGGAGGTGTATGAGGATGATCCCAATCAACCAGGAACTAGCAGAGATGCCTACAGCCCGGCCAGGCCAGGCCGTTTTGCAGAGACCGATTATTTCGGCAAAGCAGACCGGCTCTTCCCTCCACCTCACCGAGAAAGCACATCGCATTACGAAGCAGTCCATGGTTTTGCCGTAACTCACCCGAGACTCGACAAAAGCAATGGGGCTAGTAAAAAGGACTACCAGACATCAGGGTTTCATGCCAGGAAAGCAGCTCCGTACACTGCCCCGCATAAAAACCTGGGCTTGTCCAGTTTTCCCTCCACTAAAGCATATTCCCACTTTGCTCTGCAGCAGCTAAAAAAAAAAGCAGCAGCTCAGCACCTTGAAGGAGAAGGCGATGGTCTCAGGAGCCACCCGATGGGGCTGGAAGAGCTCAGGCACAAGTGGATGTTGGCCAACGACGCGGGGAACATGGAAGAGGAGATGTCCGTAAGCACAGAAATAGATCTGAGCGAGAACAGAGGCATCAAACCCATCACTATTCCTCAAGCTGCCTTGGACCTCAAGAGGACATTCAGAGACACCTTGAAAGCCACGGACTCTTCGATAGCTTCAGAGGAGCAGCAGCAGCAGTTGCGGAAGATGGTCCCCATCGTCCTCCTGGAGGAGGTGAACCTGCACCCCAAGGCGACGAAGCGGCCCCGGGGGAAGCCATTCAAGAAGAAATCCATGCTCCCTTCCCGGGAATTCATGATGGAAGAGCCCCTTCCCTTGGATATGCTCCTACTGGATTCTCCTCTGGAGGGTCCTCTGGAGCTTGATGACCTTTTGGACTCCGATTCGCCCATGCTGAAGAATGAGGAGAGGAAATGTCCCTACTGCCCAGACAGATTTCACAACGGGATCGGGCTGGCGAACCACGTGCGGGGCCACCTCAACAGGGTGGGGGTGAGCTACAACGTCCGTCATTTCATCTCGGCGGAAGAAGTGAAAGCTATTGAGCAAAAATTTTCCTTCCAAAAGAAGAAGAAAAAAGGTAGTATGTATTCAATTCACTGTGCTTTCTATTTTCTTGTTTTAATCGGTGGGGTTTTCTTCTCCCACCGAGAACTGGGTACGTATGGTACTGTGGTCAACCTGAACTGTGGTGGCCACGGCACAAACAGTGGCCTGTGGTTGTCTCGGGTGCAAGAAACCCCTCCCCAGAGGCCTGAGCCAGGGGTTTTAGCAGCGTTGCTGACTGTCTGTCCTTCTTTCCGCAGTTGCAAACTTTGACCCGAGTACTTTCAGCCTGATGCGATGCGAATTCTGCGGGGCCGGTTTCGACACGCGAGCGGGTCTCTCCAGCCATGCCAGAGCCCACCTGAGAGACTTTGGTATTACCAACTGGGAACTCACCATCTCACCCATTAATATCCTGAAGGAGCTGTTGGCCAACTCATCAGAGCATCCGATGCTGCAAGCGGCGATGGGAGCGGAGCCCTCATCCCCAAGCCGAGAGAGGGAAGCTCACGGCTTCATGCCCCGCAAGAGCATGACCCCCATGTCTGAGTGCAGCATTCCACGGTCTCCTCTGTCCCCGTTCCCCCCTTCCTGGGGAGATGAGTCCCTGCAGTCCTACAGAGACGGTAAGTGTCCCTGAACGCCCTGTGCAAGCCAGAAACCCTTTTGATAACCCCAGACCGTCGCGTCCCGCTGAACAGAGCCTTGCTGGAGGGTGGGTGTTTACAGGGAAAGGTTTAATCGGCGTAACCTGCTGTTGATTTATCAGTCTCCATCATTGACGCTCTGTGTCCCGTGAAATCTGATGCTGGTTTAGGGCAGGTGGATGGAGATGCGGCAGATGAAAGAGCCAGGCAGCGCGGTCTCTTGAGGGGTGGATGGAGGGGTCGCATCCCACCGGGGAGCCGTGCTTTGGACATTCGGGCTTTGTCATTTGAAAAGTGTCGTGTTTAGGAACGAGGTTTCCATCGGGGAAACCCCTAAAGCTTTGCAAATCATGGGGCAGAGTGTGGCTGGAGGGAAGGAGTGACCAGTGGTCGCTGGTACTGGTCCATGCTGGCAGTGCTCGGTCATGCAGTAGGCAGGATGGAACCTCTGGTCCGGGGAGCTGTGCTCATCCGTCGGCTGCTTATTTTTCCGTAGGTGGTGTTACTGTGGCGGGAGTGTAAAGGGTCCTTCCCAAATAGATTTGGGGCTGAGCTGATCAGTGGAGCTCCAAATTATTCACATGGGATCATCAGTTCCAGAGCAGAGCCTGTCCCAAACAGCTTCCAGGTTTCCCCTGCAAGGCTCCAAAAAAAACTGAGTTGGCACCAAAAACTTTGCAACGTACCATTCTCCCAAAGACTAAAAACTTGCTCGTGCATTAGGAAAAAACAACCACCTGCTGACACCTGGTGCTTCTGGCAGCATCTTGAAGTCCTTGAAGCAGCTTCTCGTTAGGTTCTGCTCAGCCTAATCCTACATTAGATACGTCCCTGCAGCGAGAAGCTACCTGTCTTTAATTGAAATACGAAAGAGCCTGTAATCCCAGCTCTCCAGACTGCTCTGCGTGCCTGGCCGCTCTTTGGAATGAGTCTGGAGTGTAACGAACACAAATTAAAATACGAACAAACCCAAACTCTTCTTTCTTGGCATGGCAGACCTTGGAGGATGAATAGCTAACAGCCCAGGGTGGTGTTTGATGCCAACAAGAGGCATTTTGGAGGGCTCAGCTGGGTTTCTGCTGCCAGTGGCTGGATGCTCCTGCTGACTGTGACTATCGCTCGGCAATTTTTAGGTCTCCCAGTGCCCAAAATTCACTGGCACAAGCCATTACCACCGCTGTTTTAAAAACTAGGGCTTGTGTATTTTGTAATTACAAAGGGTGGAAAGTGTCTCGGTGAAGAAAGAGTTTGGCCACCCTTCAGTAACAACCGCTCATTGGAGAAGAGGTTAATGCAGTTCTTAACACAGCAGATCTAATATCAAATGTCCCCAGTGTGAAGTTTTAGGAAGAAAAAAAAAAAAAAAAAGGGTCACGTCTTGAAATACGATCTTGCTTATCAGTTTGGGCAACGTCACTCAAGTTTTTTCAGCATGTGATGTTGGCCCGGGGCTGGGAACATCTGCTCCTTGTTGTGCCCATCTCCAGTTGCCTTGAAATGCTGGTGGGTGTTTGGTGGGAGAAATCGTGTCGGGAATTGTCCTTCTTAGGTACAAGTAGTTGAATGAGAGCTTAATTCTGGTCTGGTTCAGCGTTATATTTAAACCCGGATAAGGTTGAGGACAGACACATGGGATGAGCGGAGGGCGAGCGTGACCTGCACGAGAGCAAGAGCTCAAACACCCCCTTAAGCCACACTCCTGGATTTAAACTCGCGTGCTCTGTATTTCCTTAAGAGTTGTGTCTTTGGGGGACGATGCCAAGAAAATGGGTAAATCTGGGAAGCTTAAAAATCCCTGGCTCAGCAACCTGTTGTGTAACCAAAGCATGTACAGTGGGTCACGTGGAGATAGCGATCGGTGGATGGCTTTTGTATTTAAATCCAGGCCTGAAGTCTCTTAGTTACGCTCCCAAGCTCGCAGAGACGACTCGCCGTGAGTCTAAACCTTCCTTGTTTTGCTTCCAGCCTGAAATGATGCTTTCAGGGTGCTCTGGTTTCGTGCTGAAAAGATCTGTTGCAATCGATTTAAGAACGAAGTAGCACCCGTTGCGTTGCAATATTTATTTAACTCTTGCTCTGGGTACGGCTGCGGGGAAGCAGCTGAGCAAACAGTGAAGTGGTTTTGGAGATGGGGGATGCCGAATCGGTAGCCAGGAGGATTTTAGCTGTTTTTTTGAGCCCATTTGTCCCCGTGTCTCTACCAATTGCTTGTGAGACATGTGAGAGCTCGAGGAAGCTCCCTGCTTCTTGCGTGGGTCTTTGCGGCTGTGCGAAAAGCTCGACCACTGCTCCCAGGCTGCAGTGAGGAGCTGCCTTAAGGGCACCTGCTTGGTGTTAACATCCTCTGCTGGTGTTTTATGCTAATTCCGTAATTTGTAGAGGGTTTTAAGCAACATTAACAAGATAAAGGCCATTAGCAAGTTATAATGGCAGGAGGATCTCGTGAAAAGTCAGCGGTGGCACCACACCAGACCTGGCTGTGTCTCCGCCGGTGTCACGGTGGCAGCAGCCCCGTGCCATGGGAGCAGCGATGCTGCTCACGCCCTGGGACAATGTCACAGCTCAGCATCTGCAGGCAGCTCTCCGCGAACCGCTTCCTGCTTCCTTCCTCTCCGCTTCCAGACGCGTGAACTGCCAGAAGGTCTCTGCCGCTGTTGCAAGATGCCTCTCGAGCTGTTAAGAGCTAAGAATATCTGTAGACCCTTAACTGAAACCCTCTGTTGCGTGCGCAGGCAGGGAGAAATCCCCTTTTTGAGGAGCGTTTTGTGAACCATTTTCTGCGCCGGCTGCGATTCATGGTTTCTAACGAGTCTGCAGCAGGAAATGAAGGCAGAGGATTCAGCTCCGGGTGCTGGGAGATTGATTCGATGAGCACGGTGGTGCTTCTCCATTCTTGGGCTTGTAATCGCCGCAAGACCTGAGCATGTCTGTTCTCGTGGGGTGAAGTTTTGCTTCCCAGAGCTGCTTGGAGGTGGGATGCGAAGAAATGAAGAGTGGCTTTGGGAAAGGGCTGTGGGTTTAACATGCACTTGCTCCACCAATGAGCGGAGCGAGAGAGCTGGGTTGGCTCTTGCCGGTCTCATACCCTTGGCTGCTTGTTTAAATAAAAAAAAAAAACCCTCTTTAAGCAAAGCTTAAAAGTCAAAGGGAGGAAGTAGGTGTTTGGGTCTGCGGCGAGAACTTTAACTTGGCTGCACTGGTTGTTTAGATGGGACCGTTTGTGGCAAAACCAGGATGTTTTGAGATACCGGGGGGATCTTGGAGATTACCTGTTCCCTCCCTCTGCTTCCAAGCAAGTCCATGGTACCTAAACCAACCTGAACTTGGCTGCTCCGGGCTCTGATGGAGACTCCACCACCATCCTTGCACCCACGCTGCTGTTACCAGCCCTCACCCTTAGAAAGCCAGTGGGGTCTTTGGTATTTTTGGTATCTAAATCCATTACTGTTCATATTACCCACAATAAGCAAAGACAACAGTTTATTCTCTTCGTTAGACCCAGATCTTTCAATCTCCCCTTTTTGGTCATGATTTTAGACCCTCGATCGTTTGCAATTCCCTCCCCGGTATGTCTGAACCCTCCCTGAAGTGTTGCGCTCAACGTCGGACACGTTCTGGCTGCAGTGCGGCGGAGAGCAGGAGGGTTCTCTTGGCTCTTGCCCATCCCAGGACAGGCTGTGACGTAGCGGGGGTTGCAACATTCACTCTGGTTCAATTTTGAACAGCTTAAAAGTCTGAAAACTCTTTGGTTTTTTTCCCCAGCCTTTTCTGTGAGACCAGTGGCTGCGGAGCTGTCCCCAGTGGAGTTGGTGGCTTCTCTGGGGAGGTCCCCATGCTCAGCGGTGGCTTTCCCTGCATGTTGTGACGGGCGAAGGTGTGCCCTGCTGCTGCAACCGCCTCCTTAAAGCCCAGCTTGGCTCGTTAGCGAGGCTGGCTGCGTATCTCCTGGCTCCGAACCTATTGGCAGCCGCCTCCGAGAACACGTGGTTCTTCTTGGCAGGCATTGGAAAGTGTTAGGCAATTGCATCCTCCTCAAAACAGCTCACAGCTCTCCTTCCTCGTAGCCTGCCTCACCTTGCTCTGTCCCCCAGACTGCTTTTGCAGGGTTGGCACCATCGTCCCCTGTTCTTCTTCTCCCCTTTTTTTCTGGATTTAACTCCCCATGGTCTCTCTTACTGTCCCAAACTGCAAGGTCTTCTGTTAGACCTGGATTTCTCCTTTCAGTCTGCTCCTGCGCAGCAATAGCGATGTTTCACCATGTCTAGGAAGAGGAGCAAATGTTCATTTGCTGGTTTGCTTTCCACCCCACGCAGAGCCAGAGAAGACAGGGTCTGTCCTTCTTTCTAGAGTACATCTGCTGTAGCACAGGTTTTTAGGAGGAGAGGGTCAGTTGAATGGCATGAGCTTAGGGAATGATTCTCCAACTCCTCCATCTGCTGCTTGCTCGTGTTGAGCCCCCAGATGAGGACCAAGAAGTGGGGCTTGCCCCTATCATGCCCAAGGTCCTGCCTTAGCTGAAAAGCATCTTCTTCCTCTCTAGAGCATAGTTTTCAGAAAGAAAGGAACATTCTTAGAATCTCCTGTGTTGGAAGAGACCCATGAGGATCATCAAGCCCAACTCCTGACTCCACACAGGGCAACCTGAAAGTTAAACCCTATATCTAAGAGCGTTCTCCAAACTCTTCTTGAACGCCAACAGGCTTGGGGCCATGACCTCATCCCTGGGGAGCTTGTTCCACTGCTGGACCACCCTCTCCATGAGGAACTCTTTCCTAATGGCCAATCTGAGCTTCCCCTGACACAACTTTAAGCCATTCCCTCACGTCCTATCACCAGGCACCCAAGAGATCAGCACCTCTCTCTCTGTTCCCCATCACGAGGAAGTTGTAGACACCAATGAGGTCAGCCCTCAGTCTCCTCTTCTCTAAGCTGACCAACCCCGGTATCCTCAGCTGCTCCTCACAAGCCCTCTACTCCTT